ACATAAAAATTCATTTAACCCGGTCTTGAGGGTAAACCCTAAACCCTAAACCCTAAACCCTAAACCCTAAACCAACTCTCAAAGCTCATAACCTGGAGCTGACAACCCCGATGCCGAGTTCTGTTCGTTTTGGGTGGCTTTAGGGTTTAGGGTTTAGGGTTTAGGGTTTAGGGTTCAGGGTTTAGGGGGCTTGGTAGCGCAGGGTTTTGGGGTCTTGGGTGTAGGGCTTGGGGTTTTAAGTTTCGGGGTTAGGGCGGGTTTTAGGCTTTAGGGGCCTTGTGGGTTGAGGGTTTGGGGTTTAGAGTGCAGGGCCGTTTCACCTGGGGGCTTGCGGTTTTAGCTCCCAGGGTTTGCCCGGACACCGAATCCTCAGCTTTGTCCCGCCTAAACCCGAAGCCCTAAGCCCTGTAACCTAAAAGCTAGATCCCTCAAAAACACGAAAACAAACTGCAAAAGAGAAAATCCAAAACAACTGGTTAAAAAGAAACTAAAACAACTATTTAGAAACTTAGAAACTTTAAAAAAAAGTATCTAAAAAATCTAAAGCACCTAAAAAACACAAATTTCTCATATTAAAAATACAGGTCGCAGAGCTTTGCGCAGCCAAGTCGCAGGGCATGAGTAGAGCGATGTGCTTGGACCGGGGGTCCTTGGAACCCAAAGAGCCCAATACCCCCTGAATTAAGGGAAAAATTCCTTAGATCATACGAAGGATCCCTTTTTGGGTTAGGGAATATTTCTTAATTACGGGGCTTTAGGCTCTCTGGGAAACTCTCGGGTGTCGAAAGCCTGGGCTTGGGGTGGAGTTGGTGGGTTTAGGGCGTTAGGGTTTGGTTTAGGGTTTAGGGTTTAGGGTTAGGGGTTAAGGGTTTGGGGTTTAGGGTTTCGGGTGTGGGGTTTAGAGTTTAGGGTTTGGGGCTCAGGGTTTAGGATTTAGGGGGATGCCCCCTTACACTAACAGTAAGAGGGATTATAATCAGGGGTACTATAGTCCCTATTCAGGACTGTTAGACTGGGTTTTGGGGGGGTTTAGGGCTTAGGGCTTAGGATTGAGGGTGGCATAGTGTTTAGGGCGTTAGGGTTTAGGGCTTGAGGGTTTAGGGCTCAGGGTTTAGGGCTTTAGGGTTTAGGGTTTTAGGGTTTTAGGGTTGTAGAGTTTTAGGGTTTCAGGGCTTTAAGGTTTTAGGGCTTTAAGGTTTTAGGGTTTTAGGGTTTTAGGGCTTCAGGGCTCTAGGGTTTTTTTAGCAACTCCCCGAGAGCCAAGGAAAAGAGCAAGTGCACAGTGTCAGAAGTACTGTGCCCAGAGACTCCAATACTCCTTAACTAAGGAAGAGTACTTAGACCATGTAAGGAGCCAGAGTAGAAGTTTAGGGTTTAAGGTTTAGGGTTTAGCGTTTAGGGTTTAGGGTTTAGGGTTTCGGGTTTAGGGTTTAGGGTTAAGGAATACTCCTAGATTAAGGGGATTGGAGCCCCTGGGCACGAAAGAAGCTCGACCAGGAAGCTCCAAGATTGGGGGAAGTGAGTGCTGGTACCCCGAGCGACAAGGAGAAGATATACGACACCCTAAACCCTAAACCCTAAACCCTAAACCCTAAACCCTAAACCCTAAACCTCAGGGGGGGTTCTGGCAGCTGTTGGTTTAAATTCTGGGACAACGAAAAGCAACAGTTGCGACCGAAGACATGGCGAAGAAGGGTTGAGGGTTGGGATAGTGGGGGGTACTATCATCCTGACGAAGGACTGTTAGTAAGAGGGGAACATCCCAAGGTTTAGGGCCTGCTAGGGTTTAGGGTGTAGAGAGGTCCGGCGCCCCTCCAAACATTCCACCTAGCCCCTACCCAACCCTCAAGGAAGAACGTAACGAAATCAGCTGCTGCAAACAAGATCCTCGTCCTCACGAGTCCCCCAAAAAAAACACGAAAACTTAACAAGAAACCAAGCGCCTGAACCCTAAACCTAAATCCCAAACCCTGGAGCCAAAACCCAAACCTTAAACCCCCCCCCCCGGCCCCCCGCAGTCCTCGCAAGGCTCGGAAAGTTCGATACCGGAATGGTAATCCAGATCTGAAGTCTGAATGGCTGCGACTCAAGAGCTTGCAAGACACTTCTTTGGGTGTTTTGGGTGTTTTGGGTGTTTTGGGTGTTTTGGGTGTTTTGGGTGTTTTGGGTGTTTTGGGTGTTTAGGGTTTAGGCTTCGCGGGCGGGGGGGGGAGGGGGGGAGGGGGGGGGAGGTGGGCGAATGGGGGAGTGGGCGGATAGGGGCGTGGCAGGGTGGGGGGGCGGCGGGGGGTGGAGGGGGCTTAACCGAGGGTCTCCAATACCCCTTCATTCCCTTGACTAGGAATCTTCTTTAAACCGTAAGAAGGTTCCTTATACTTAAGGAATACTCCTTAATTTAGGGGTATTGGCATCTCTGGGAACTACAGTTCTCCTTGTGTCATAAGTACCCATGAGCCGTGGTTGCAAGGTTTGGGGCCTACGCCGTCTACGCAACTTGGACTGCTCAGGGCTTAGAGTGTTGAGGCTTTCTGTGCTCTTGAGGCTTCCCTGAACCCTAAACCCTAAACCCTAAACCCGAAACCCTAAACCCTAAACCCTGAACCCTAAACCCTAAACCCTGAACCCTGAACCCTAAACCCTAAACCCTGAACCCTGAACCCTAAACCCGAAGCCCTGAACCCGAAACCCTGAACCCTAAACCCTGAACCCTGAACCCTAAAACCTAAACCCCAAACAATAGTAAGCATCTTGGACCTCGGGTGCCAATGCCAGCCCCAGACCCCCCAAATCGTTGACCCAAAATCCCTGAACCCTAAGTCTCTAAAGCCCCTAAAGGGTTTAGGGTTTAGGGATTAGGGTTTAGGGTTTAGGGTTTCGGGTTTAGGGTTTAGGGTTCAGGGTTTAGGGTTTGGGGTTTGGGGTTTGGGGTTTAGGGTTTAGGGCTTGGGGCTTGGGGTTTAGGGTTTAACGTACATTAACAAAACATAAGCACATCGCACAAAGAACGGCACGACGTGACCTAGGGCTGAAAAGGGTTTAGGGTTTAGGGTTTAGGGATTAGGGTTTAGGGTTTAGGGTTTTGGGTTTAGGGTTTAGAGTTTCGGGGTTTAGGAACTTAGAGTGTAGGGGTTCAGGGGTTCAGGGCTTGCGGCGGGTTAGGGTTCAGGGGTTGAAGGTTTGAGGGCTTTAGGGTTTGGGGTTTTGGGGTTTTGGGGTTTTGGGGTTTTGGGGTTTTGGGGTTTTGGGGTTTTGGGGTTTTGGGGTTTTGGGGTTGAGGGCTTAGGGCTCACGATTCTGCTCGCGCTTCCGCGTGACCTGTCGTTTAAAATGCGAGCGGTCGGATGGGGGCCCCCCTGCTCATTTGGGCCAGCAACAGCAAGACGATGGTCTACCGTAGAACCCTAAACTCTAAACCCTAAGTAGAACCCACACCCGGTTGGAAGAAGGCCAGAAGAAGGCCCCTCCGACCCTCTCAAGCAACGCCGGTTTCGCGCTGCCGCAGGATTCAGGCTTCTTCCTCCACAGGACGTTTGGGTATTTCCCAAGATTTGGGGTTCCCCTTATATGCCCCCAAAGTACCAGAATCCTTGTTTATTGGAACCACAGAAGCAACTCTATTTTTGGGAAACCCACCTAAACCCCGAGACTAAAATCTCAACGCTAAGACTGAACCCTAAACCCTAAACCCTAAACCCTAAAGCCTGAGGTTGCAGGTTTGGATTTAGGCGCTTGCCTCTGGGTTCGGGTATTGGGTGTTTGCTTTGGTGCTGTTGCTGCATCTAAGGTTCTCGTGTGCTGTCGGCATTGGCCTGTTCCGTGGGTGCAGGGCTTAGGGTTTGGGGTTTAGAGTTTTGGGTTTAGGGTTCAGGGTGTGTGTTCGCGTCGTTCTTGCTCGGACAATTTATCGGCCCATTTCGGGTCTTCCCGCTTCTGAAACCCACATTTTCAGGTGGTGGGCCTACATTACAGCGCTTGCAAATTTCAGCCCCCCTAAGCCCTAAACCCTAAACCCTAAACCCTAAACCCTAAACCCTAATCCGGGCACACTTCGCTGCGGCCATGTCATTAGTGCTTTCACCTTAGCTGCGGTGTAGTGTTGAACCTATGGTGAGGGTAACGAATGTCCACTGCATAAGTATCTTGCGCAAGACATTGGAATTTGCTTTGTGACCTATAAAGGCCGGTGGCCTCTTCATCTGTTGCCCTTATACCTTAATGTAGCCCCTAGTTACCCTGATAAGAACCCGCAATATATGCCCCAAGAAGCAGAAACCCTACCCCACACCTACCTTAGCCCCCTAAAACTTGGGATGTTCCCCCTTATAATACTAACAGGATGTTCTTCCTTATACGAACAGTCCTTAGTAGAGATTATCATAGCAGAAACTCTAATCCCCATTAAGGACTGATAGTACAAGGGGTAACATCCCAACCTGAGACCCCAAAGATCCTAAACCGCCAACCCCGAAACACCTAAAACTAAAACCCTACACCCTCAACCCTTGAACCCAAACAAACACTAAAAAGAACACCCCAAGAAGCCCTTACTCAACCCTCAACCCATGTCGGGTTCGGGGTTAGGGTTTAGGGCTTAAAGGGTCCCTGACTAAGCCCCTAAAACCCACAACCCTCAACCACCCCCCTCCCCCCCCCCCCCCCCAAAAAAAAACAAAAAAAAAGAACCAAAACCCAAACCCTAACCCCCCCCCCACCCCCCACCCAAAAAAAAAAACACACACACACACATAAACAACCAAAGCGAACCCCCTAAATTCTAGCCCCAACTCCTAAACCATCAACCCAAAACCCTCAAGATCAAAAAAAACAAACGGCGGGTGGCCTCTTAATCCGTTACGCTTATACCTTAATATAGCCCCTAGTTACCCTAATAAGAACCCGGAATATGTGCCCTATAAGACAGAAACCCTTCTGAAGGAGACCACCAACCCATATATAAAAAAATATGAACCAACACAAAAACCTTGGACGGGTCCTCAGTCCTCCTCCTGCTCTGGTGGCGTCCAGGGCTCCAGGAGCTCCTCTTGCACAAAGAATTGTCAGGGGCTTAGGGCTGGGTTTAGGGTGTTGGGTTTTGGGTTTTGGGTTTAGGGTTTCGGGTTTTAGGGGTTTAGGGGTTTAGGGTTTAGGGCCAGGGTTTTAGTGTTTTAGGGTTTAGGGTTTAGGGTTTAGGGTTTAGGGTTTAGGGCTTTGGGGGTTTTTTTCAGGTTTACGGTTTAGGGGTTCGGGGGTTTGTAAGGTTTGGGGCTTAGGGTTTAGGCTGAGGGTTTAGGGTTTAGAGGGTGAGGGTTTAGGGGTTAAGGAGTTTAGGAGTTTGGGGTTTAGGGTGTGTCTGGGCTAAGGGCTTAGGGAGCGAGGGTTTAGGGGTTTAGGGGTTTAGGGCGTTAAGGGGCTTAGGGGTTTTTTGAGGGTTTAGGGTGTAGTCAGGATTTGCGGTTGAGGGGTTTGGAGGTTTCGCGGTTGCAGGGTTTAGGGGTTTAGGCTGGCAAGGGCGGGGTTGGGGTTTAGGCTTTTGGGGTTTAGGATGGTGTACGGTTTCGGCTTTGGGGGTTTAGGTTTTTAGGGTTTCGGATTCGCCTTGTGATGCAGGTACGAACCCTTAAAGTCTAAGTCCGAAGCTGTCCCAGGGACCCCTCAATTCAGGAATGTTCCTTAAATTATCTGCCGACCCCTGCGGTTGGCGTCAGTGAAATCCCGAAGGGTTGCTGCGTCCGAAGACCTGCCCCGAGCCCTACCTTCGTGAAGAAGTGTTGTATGAAGTGTTTGCCCGCTGCCATCCCCGCCCTCCCCACGCCCCCTTACCCCCTTTCTGCCCCCCCTACCCCCCCCCTTACCCAAACTTGGCTGCACTCAGGAGGGTAGCTATAAATTAAACTTTTAGCTGCCTTAATAAGAAACCCAATAAACCCAAAAAAGGTAAGGATCTAAAGTAACAGCAAAGGACCACAAAGCAAAGGGGACTGTCTCACCCGTTCGATTCTCTCAGCTTCACTCGCAGCTGGGAGCGCTAGCACTACCATTTGCAACAGCACGGACGCGGAGCACGGGGAGAAGTCTCTTTCTAAGCTCCTTGCAGGTTTACTAAGCACACACTGCGAAACACCACACCCTAAACTCCAAACTCTGAACCCCTTGCCCAAAGCGGCTGGAAGTGCCCGTGCGGCTTGCTTCTCGCACCGCTTCGATTTCGGCGATCACCCCCGATATGTGGCACACATATGGAGCAGCACGAACGGCTAGCTTACCGGGCGGATGCCATCATGCGCCGACACCACACTTACCTCCAAGCCAACGAGCCGAACGCGGCAAAGTGTCGTCCGCTGCCGACTCATTCGCTACCTCCGAACGGCCGGCGTTGACGTCTGCCAACTCCCCCCTTCTCATCACGTCCCCTCGTCCTCGAACTCCCACGCTGCGGCTTTGTTCCCCGACCTGCACCGTCCCCGTGACGATGCTGCGTGCCGCGGCCGCATGCGCCGCGGCAATGTCGTTCACCGCTTGCGGCGCTCGAGGTGTGGCGCTTCTTGTCCACAGCCCCTGAAAATAATAGGCTTCCTTATGTGGTTTCAGGAAGATTCCTTAATTTAGGGGCATCGGAGTCTCTGGGAATCCTACCCCTAAACCCTAAACCCGAAACCCGAAACCCTAAGCCCTAAGCCCTAAGCCCTAAGCCCTTAACCCTAAACCCTAAACCCTAAACCCTAAACCCTAACCCTAAACCCTCGCGGATGTAAGCTCTGCCCGGGCTCCGCCAGGGAGGCACCACGGCTGCAGAGCTCCGTGCTGCGGGCGAACTCCTGCCAAGTGGTGAGTGGTTTAGGGTTTAGGGTTCAGGGTTCAGGGTTTAGGGTTTAGGGTTTAGGGTTTAGGGTTTTAGGTTTTAGGCTTTAGGCTTTAGGGTTTAGGGTTAAGGGTTAAGGGTTAAGGGTTTAGGGTTTAGGGTTTAGGGTTTAGGGTTTAGGGTTTAGGGTTTAGGGTTTAGGGTTTAGGGCTTAGGGTTTTGGGGTTTGGGGTTTAGGGTTTAGGGTTATAGGATGTAGGATTTAGGGTTCAGGTGTTAGGACCAGGATTTCAACTTGGTATACCTAACATGGAGAGGGTCTAGTGTTTGGGGTTTAGGGATGAGGTGGAGGCGCCTTGCGACAGCCAACGACTTCGAGGTTATTAAAGTGCAGGGTGGAAGGACAAGGCTTTGAGGCTCTAAACCCTAAACCCTAAACCCTAAACCCTAAACCCTAAACCCTAAATCCTAAACCCGAATTCGGGGTTTTGCTTCAGGGATCGGATCTGATGCTGCGCAACATCCCCAAAATCCGAGCGCACCATCACCACAAAGGTTGTTCTTTGGTACGTAGGGTTGAGGATAGGGTTCTCGGATTTTACAGGGTTTTAGAGGTTTAGGGTTTTCTGGCGGTACTCAACACACTGCTGCCTAGACTTGCAAGCAACACCATGTGCCAAAAGCTTTGAACGCAGAACCCCTAAACCCTAAACCCTAAACCCTAAACCCTAAACCCTAAACCCTAAACCCTAAACCCTAAACCCTAAACCCTAAACCCTAAACCCTAAACCCTAAACCCTAAACCCTAAAGACCAGAGCTGTGATCTCCTCGACCAGGCGATGGGCGCTCAGCCAGTGCCTTTGAGCTGGCCCCTATGAGATCAAAGGTTTAGGGTTTAGGGTTTAGGGTTTAGGGCTTAGGGTTTGGGGTTTGGGGTTTAGGGTTTAGGGTTTGGGGTCTAGGGTTTAGGGTGTAGGGCTTCGGGTTTAGGGGAAGCCTAAATCCTGAAGCCCTGAATCAAGCCTTTGTGTGCGGGACCTCAGAAAAACATGCAGAGTTTGCAGAGGCTCCAATACCCCTTGATAAAGGAATACTCCTTAGACCCTCTGGGCGCTTCCCAAAATAGGGGTACCCCATTTATAGCCCAAAAGAAGAGAATCCCAATTAAAGGGAGGCCCCACAAAGGGTACCCCTATTTTCGGAAACCCCCAATATAAGGAACCCTCTTGGAGTTGAAGGAATATTCCTTAATTACGGGGTATTGGAGTCCCTGCGTCAAATGGCTCTACTTCAGGCTCCATCCAACCCAAAGCCTCACCTCTCCAACAGCCTGGGAAATCCAGGGGCGTTGTAGGGTTTGGGGTTTGGGGTTTCGGGTTTAGGGCTGAGGGCTTAAGGTTCCTAAACCCTAAACCTTAATTTTTAAACCCTAAACCCTACACCCTACACCCTAAACCCTAAACCCTAAACCCTAAACCCTAAACCAACAACTTCAGCCCCAAAAGCTGGACATTTAACTCTTGACTGGTTAGCAAGCAGACCAATCACGCCCCAAAGCAATCGTTGAAGCTTCTGGGCTTCGGGCTTGCGGCGTAGGTGAGGGTTTGGGGTTTAGGATTAAGGGTTTAGGGTTCCTAAACCTTAAACCCTAATCCGGTCAGGTAACCCGATGCTCCCACAAACCCATAGCCCTAAACCCTAATCCCTCAAACTCATCTGAGCCCCATGTTCCCACAGCACCAACGCAGAATCGCTCCCTCCTTTGCTGAAAACTTTGAAGCCCGAATGAAAAGGCTTTAGGGTTTAGGGTCCAGGGTTTAGGGTTCAGGGTTCAGGGTTTAGAGGTTTAGGGTTTAGGGTTTAGGGTTTAGGGTTTAGGGTTTAGGGTTTAGGGTTTAGGGTTTAGGGTTCAGGGTTCAGGGTTGTTCAGGGTTCAGGGTTCAAGGGTTGAGGGTTTTGGGCTTAATGTTTGCTCTGCGTCCAAGAGGCATGGAGGCTCCCAGGTTCACGTCAGCCTCGAAAGGGTCCTCAACCGCCATCTTCCTAAACCCTACGACCCCAAAAGAAGAGGGAACTAGGGCGTACTCTGTGTCCGAGGACTCAAGGCAGAGGGTTTGGGGTTTAGAGGAGAAGCGGGCGACTGGTGGCTCCTTTAAGGGTTTAGGGTTTAGGGGTTGAGAGGTTTAGGGGTTTCGGGGTGCAGTGCTTTAGGGGCTTAGGGATTTGAAGGTTCGGGGGCTTTCGAGTTCAGGGCTTCGGGCTTAGGGCCCCCCCCCCCCCCCCCTCCCCAACGCAAACCCTCAGAAAGCCGCCCTGAGCCAGGCTCAAGGGACTGAAGGAGGGACCCTCCGTAAGGAACCTTAGGAGTTATTTAGGGGTTGTTTTAGGGGCTACTGAGGTATATCGGATTATACAGCGGCGATATAAGGCTCTTACAAGGCTTTTATAGGGCTTATATGGGGGAATAAGATTAAGGGCCTTAAGCTCAGTCGAGCAGCTTCGATGATGGGAGCTTCCAGGCTGGGGTTGCCGGCCTGCGCACACAAAAGGCTTTGCTTTTTTCAGCGTTTAGGGTTTAGGGTCTAGGGTTTAGGGCTAGATTTTTTGGGGTGCCGGACTCTGAATGCAAAACCCGAAAATACCCCTGGGGTTCCTAAACCCTAAACCCTCAACCCGCAAACCCTAAACCCCAAATCCCTCGAAAACCCAGGGCTGTTGGGGTTTGCGGTTTTTTGGGGGTTCGGAGATTCATGGGGGGGAGACGGGGAGAGGGGGGGGGATGTGGGGCGCTGCGATAGGATGGCCCTTTACAAACCTTCTGAGAAGTATTTCGAAAGATGATCTTTTGAAACCCAACAAGGGAAACTATAAAGTGGCCCAAGAGGCCTAAACCCCAAACCCTAAACCCCAAACCCCAAACCCCAAACCCTAAACCTTCGTGCAATGAGAACAGCAGCAAATCACGACTTGGCGAATGAAAGGCGTGATGCTCTGAGGTGTCTAGGGGCCCCTGGAAGGTCTCTGAGCTCCTAGATGTGAAGTCTTAGGGCGTAGGGCTCGTAGGGTTCATAGGGTTTAGGGTTTATAGGGTTTTTAGGGACTCAGGGTTTAGGGTTTATAGGGTTTAGGGTTTAAAGGGTCAGGGCGTAGGGCGTAGGGTTCATAGGGTTTATAGGGCTTCCCACACTTGCGGTACTCTCCTTAAGAGAGCCCTTATAAAGGGAAGTCTACTCTACTTGGAAGTTCATGGGTAGACATATGTGTAAGGTTGCAGAAGTAACCATAAGTAGAATTACCCTACCTTCTAACCCTACTTATGTCTACCCATGAACTTCCAAGGATTTTGGGCTTAGGGTTTAGGGTGTAGGGTTTAGGGGTTTAGGGCATAAGGGGGTACCCCCATTTTGGGAAACTCCCAGTGCTAGGGACTCTTGGTTCGACAGGGGGGGTCTTGTTTTTAGGGGCTCAGGGATTAGGGCAGGTTTATGGTTTTTAGGGGTTTTCGGGGTCTAGGGTATATAGGGTTTAGGGTATATAGGGTTTAGGGTTTAGGGTTTAGGGTGCAGGGTTTAAGGTGCAGGGTGTAGGGTTTAGGGTTTAGGGTTCAGGGCTTAGCTTAGGGTTTAGGGTTTGGGGTTCAAGGTGCTGCTTGGCCTTGTCGAGCTGGCGGCGGGGGAGAGAGTCATTGGGCGGCAAACCTGGAAGGGATCAGATGGCGCATGGGCCCCTTGATGAAGGATTAGGGTCCCTAAACCCTAAACCCTAAACCCTAAACCCTAAACCCCAAACCCTTGATGAAAGACTTCTTCTTTGTTTAAGGCTTCGTGCCCAAGACCTCTTCATTCAGAGGGCTCCTTGATGAAGGTAGATTCTTTAACTCAGGGCTATAAGCTCTAAACCTCAAACCCTAAACCCTAAACCCTAAACCCTAAACCCTAAACCCTAAACCCTAAACCCCAAAAGACTGCTGTAGGGCAATGCGAGGCCAAGCGACGCATTCCGCGACGCACCGAGACAATCTCAGAGCCCCAGCCGAACCTGAGGCTTCTTCGGGTTTAGGGTTTAGGGTTTAGGGTTTAGGGTTTAGGGTTTAGGGTTTAGGGTTTAGGGTTTAGGGTTTAGGGTTTAGGGTTTAGGGTTTAGGGTTTAGGGTTGAGGGGTTAGGGTTTAGGGTTTAGGGTTTAGGGTTTAGGGTTTAGGGTTTAGGGTTTAGGGTTTAGGGTTTAGGGTTTAGGGTCTGGGGTTTAGGATTTAGGGTTAGGGTTTAGGGTTTAGGGTTTAGGGTTCAAGGTTAGTTCTCCGCTGCCAATTTTATGGTTTTAGGATACGGTGATGTGCAGTTTGGTTTTTGTGTGGCGTTAGGGGTGGAGGGCTTAGGGCCGCTTCGGTCTAAGGTTATTGCTTTGTTTTAAGGGTTTAGGGTTATTAGGGTTTAGGCTTTAGGGTTCGGGTTTAGGATTTAGGGTGTAGGGTCTAGGGTTTACGGGGTAGAGTGTAGGGTGTACTGTAGGGTTTAGGGCTCAAGTTTGGGGTTTAGGGTCTGGGGTCTAGGGTCTATAGGGTTTAGGTGTCAGGGTGTAGGGTTTACGATTTGGGGTTTAGGTTTAGGGCAGTTGGTGGACGGGGGGGGCGGGTGGGAGGGTGCCAGCCACGAGGCTTGGCGTAGAAGCGCATGAAGCCTGCGCACGGCTGGCGGTTCAGTCATGGGTTCCCCCTGCTACCCCCTCTAGGCTGAATTATCCCTAAATGACCTTAATTATGGGAGGATGTAGGGGGGGGGTAGTTTAGAGGGGAACCCCGTGATTCAGGGAGATTGAGGGGTTTAGGTGGGGATGTTCCCCTTAGACTAACAGGCCCTGGGGATTCTAATAGGGAACTAAACTCTCAATAAAGGGGGAACATCCCAAGGTTTAGGGTTTAGGGTTTAGGGTTTAGGGTTTAGGGTTTAGGGTTTAGGGTTTAGGGTTTAGGGTTTAGGGTTTAGGGTTTAGGGGTTTAGGGTTTGGGGCTTAGGTTTTATGGTTTGGGGTCTAGTAGTTCGGGGTCAGGATTTGGGGTTTGGGGGTGCTGCACCCACCCCCACATCGCACCCTGGGTGGAACACGAGCGAGATTGCATCTTGGGCACTCAAAAACCCCCTAACATCACACAAGACCCCCCAACCACCCCCCCCCCTCCCCCCCCTCCCTCTCCCCCCCCCTCCCTCCCCCCACCCCTCCCCCCCCTCCCCCCCCAACAAAAAAACTGAACCCCAATCTAGCAAACCCCGAGACCGAGGAAAGCAAAAGTCTCGCTTTTCGGATTTAGGGCCTCGGGTCACTGATTGAAATCGAGACCCTAAAACCCTAAACCCAGGGGTTTATTGGGGGGGCTCAGTGCGAGGGTAGAAGCAAGGAGTCAGTAGTAGGGTTGGTTGAGTATCTTGGGTGTGACGTTGATAGTCTAGGGCTCAGGGTTTAGGATTAGGGCTTAGGGCTTAGGGTTTACGGTTTAAGGTTTAAGGTTTAGGGCTTAGGGCTTAGGGTTTAGGGTTTAGGGTTCAGCGTTCAGGGTTCAGGATTCAGGGTTCAGGGTTTAGGGTTTAGGGTTTAGGGTTTAGGGTTTGGGGTTTGGGGTTTAGGGTTTAGGGTTTAGGGTTCAGGGTTTAGGCTTGGGGTTTAGGGTTCAGGGCTGTGAGCTTTTGGGGGCTGGGCCATCCGAAAAGGCATGCTTCGAGCTACGAGTACACAGCCCCGAAACCCTATACCCTAAACCCAAACCCTACACCCCAAACCCTAAATCCTAAACTCCTAAACCGCTAAAACCCTAAGCAGGCAGCAGCTTCGGAAATTTGAGGCTACAAACTCAACCCTGAACCCTGAGCCCTCTAAACCCTAAACCCTAAACCCCAAACCCTAAACCCTAAACCCTGAACCCCAAACCCTAAACCCCAACCTGCAAAACCCTCTCAATTCCCCACCACCCCTGGCCGCCTTTCAGCAACTCGCCCGTGCTGAGCGTGCAGTTTGTGGCCGGCTTGGCCGGGCGCTTGCCCGAGGAGAGGAAGCCTGATTTGGTGGTGGTTTGGGTTAAGGGATTGAAGGAGACCCTAAACCCCAAACCCTAAACCCTAAACCCTAACCCTAAACCCTAGCCCTAAACCCTAAACCCCAAACCCTAAACCCTAGTTTAGGGCCATGGGCTCAAGGCTGAGGACTTCACGAAACTTGTAGCGTGGGCGTCCATCCCACCCTAAACCCTAAATCCTAAACCCTCAACCCTAAACCCCAAACCCGAAACCTCAAACCCTAAACCTCCCCTTGATTACAGACTCCAAGCCTACTGGAGCCCCAAACAAGGCGAAACCCTGAGACTCCAAACCCCTGCTAGACCTTAAGCCCTGAGCCCTCAATCCCAAACCCCTCTACATCCAAAAACCTAAACCCTAAACCCTAAATTCAGGGAACCTACTCCAGACCCCCTCTGGCCCAGGAGCCCATGTCGGGGAGGAGTTGCTCCTGCTCGTCCTCAGAGGTTCGCGTGTCGGATGTTGAGGGTTGAGGGTTTTGGGGTTTGGGTTGAGGGTTCAAGGTTTTTGGGGTTCAAGGTGTTGGGACTCAGGGCTTAGGGTGTAGGGTTCGGGGGGTTTGGGCTTCAGGGGTTAGGAGCTTTGGCTTTGGGGACTCGGTGTTGAGGGTTTAAGTTGTCAGTGTAGGATTTAAGGCACCTATACCGATTCCCCCTAAGGAATCAAACTAGCCCAGTGCTATGACATTCCTAAAACATAAACTTTGCGTCGCTGAAAACCTCCCTGACCTCCGAATCATCATCCTAAAACTCGTATCCAGCTCCTCCAGGCGTTTTTCGTCAACACTCACTCCAGCCAAAACTGTGGCGACGGTGTTCGCGCCCGTGGCGCCGACGGCGTGACCGACGGCAATGTGCAGCCTTCCATCCTTGGTAGAGGCTCCCACCACAAACTCCAGGAGAGAGGTGTGGAAAGGGAGAAACCGGCACTTGGGTACAGTGACGGATCGTGGCGCGAACTTTCAGGCCTCGGTTTCGACAGCCTGCTTCACGGCCCCAATGCCAGCCTCAGAGGCCGAGCATCTCCGCCAGCTGGAGCAGGCTTTGGCGCTCCCAGAACTCACACACTCGGTGAGAATGCTTGCAGCAGGTCCACGAGCTTTCCTGCCTGCCCTCTGGAGCCAGTCTTGCAGGCTTCCTTGACGGGACCGGAGATGAACCGTATGCCTTCCTGGAGCAGTGGGCTCTATTAAAACCCTGGGCCCTGAACTACTTTCATGTCTGGGTAGGGCTTCTGGTTTTAGGCTCTTAGGGTAGTTACACGGTCCCCTCATACGGGGTCTTAAACCACCATATAAAAGGGACCATGTAACTACCCTTCGATAGGTACAAGACTGAGCGGTCTTTTAAGCCTCAGCCCCCGGGGGGGGGGGGGGGGGGGGGGGGGGGGGGGGAGGTGTGGGGGGGTTCAGTCTTCTAGGAAACCCTGGATCCCAAGTCCACATGAGGTGCTGTTTCAAGGCCTCTAGAAAGTGGATCCCGATGAGGGCTCCTGTAAAGTTTACCCTAGAGTAGTATGCGGGGGTACACGATTGAAGGGGTGGGGCGGGGGGCGGTTGGGAGTTCAGCTTTGTTCACCTGTTCTTCCTAGAACCCTCAAGACAGGACCAAAATCAGAAGTTACTTTCCAGAACGGCTAATATGGGAGCCATTAGAACAGGGCTTTGAAAGGGTTGTTATAATATAATTACAAAGGGACCCTAAGGCCCTAAGGGATTACTATTAGATTTTCTTCCGACCCCTGCTGGGAGGGTCGGAGGACTTAGCAGGCAGTTGTCTAATCGAGTAAAAAGTAGGAAAACTCCATTTAGGGTCCCTGTCAGGGCACTTTACGTCTACTTACCATCTACTTACTACGTCCCTGGACCCTCCAAGATATGGTATATTTGATAGCCCCTGAACCCTTAAAAGGCGCCGAGCATCCAGGCCCACCTGCAGGTAGTACACTGCCAAGAGCCTGGGTTGCCGGGTTTGGGGTCTGGAGTTTGGGGTCTGGGGTTTCGGGTCTCGGGTCTGGGGTTTGGGGTTGAGGGTTTAGGGTTTAGGGTTTTTGGTTGAGGGTTTAGGGTTTAGGGTTTAGGGTTTAGGGTTTATGGTTTAGGGTTTAGGGTTTACCCTACTACCCTTGCAGATGTAGGGCTTTCGGGTCTGATGGCCTGGCGCTTACGGGGATTGCGAAATAGGGTCCCTCAAGCCTAAACCCTGGACCCTTCATGCATAAACCCTAACCCTCAACCCATAAAGCCTAAGACCTAAACCCTAAAGCCTAAAAGCCTAAGCCTGAAACTCTGAACCCTAAGCCCTAAACCCTAAACCCTAAACCGATCCGATCTGCCTCAAGCACATTGCCCATTAAACCCCTAGAAACCGGGTAAAAACCTTAAGCATGATTTCGCTCAGCACGCAAATTCTGCCCAAGAGCATCCAGGAGTAGGGTGAGAGATGGCCCTTGGCGGCATGGCTGATGCCACGGTCCTGCTTCGTCTCACTGTCACCCAGACAGCCCCATGCGCCCATGCCCGAAACCCTGAGAGTAACCTAGGAAGAAAAGGGATGCCCTTTTTGGTTTAAATGGGCTGGGGAACCTAAGCCTGAAACAAAAAGGGGGACTCAGTGCCTACTGCGGGTCCTAGACCCTATACTGAGATCCTCCCTCTTGTGAGTTGAGACACATTCTTGATTCACGGGGGTTTCCTGGGTGGGGCTTTGCTGTAGGGCTTGGGGGGGATCGAAGGTCATTGCCCACAAGGGCGTGGATTTGGGTTTGGAGTTTAGGTTCAGGGCTTAGGCTTTAGGGTTTAGGGACAAACAGCGGGAGATGTCGAGTGGCGTGGCATCGGGCGCTGGAAGTAAGGAACCGGCAAGGTTCCAAATGTCGACCGCCCCCCCCCCCCCCCACCCCCCCCAAACCTCAACAAAAACACAGCTGAAGGCCTCAAGCGAAATCCTCAAACCTCAAAGCCTCCCTCACCACAAAAGTTAACCCTATAACTTCAAGCCTACCTTCGAGCCACGGGCAAAGACAGCCCTAAGAAAGTGGCCACTGAAATAGAATGAGCATGTTTCGGGTTCAGGGTTTGGGGCGTTGGGCATGAGATGCCGGCAATCCTTGGGCTGCCCTCTCACTCACTCTTCTTTCTCTCTCTCTCTCTCTCTCTTTTTTTCTCTCTCTCTCTCTCTCTCTCTCTCTCTCTCTTTCTCCGGCTCTCTCTCTCTCTCTCTCTGTCTCTCTCTCTCTTCTGGGCCGGCCATGTCGCCCGTGCTTCAGTAGGGGGTTTGGATATTGGGGTAGCCGCGAGCCCGCGACCCCGAAAGCCCAAATCTGCGACGTCCTTTGCCCAGCGACGGACCAGCAAGATCAGTTCACCAGCGCGCGTCTCCAATTGGCTGCAGGCCTCTGCACGGTTTCCGCATTCAGTCAACCCGAGGGCCCACGACCTTAATTTAGGAATGAGTTTAGGGTTTCGTCTAGGGCCAAATACCCCTTAACTGAGGATCAGACCTTGAGTCGTATTTAAGATCTCTACAGAGTCTGCGGCTGAGATTAAAAGCGCGAATCGGGGCCCAGTCGCATGTGAATTGGGTTTACCCCAACTCCCTACCAAGAACACCAGTGAGGATACGACTGCTTGGTCGAAGCGGGGGCCTCTGCGCGGGCATGAAGGCGGTGTTGCTCACATTCCTTTGTCATAGTTGGGTAACATTTTACATCCCAACCATGAACTAGACTCTGCAGGCACTCAAAGAGAGAGCAAGATCCTGGGATTCCACAGTGAGTCGGCCACGGTGCTGGGCAGCCATGCCCCCACGCACGAAGTAATCGTTTCCGGCGTAGGGAGCATTGGTCGGTCTTGCCAGCTGACGGTGTCCGCCATAAGGCGGTGTGTAGGGTTTAAGGTTGAAGGTTGAAGGTTGAGGGTTGAGGGTTGAGGGTTGAGGATTGGGGGTTAAGAGTTGAAGGTTGAGGGTTGAGGGTTGAGGGTTCTGGGCTCTAGGTCTCTAGGTCCTTAAGCCTTAGCAACCTTTAGGGTCCCTTGTAAGGATACCTTGCTTCAAGTCTCTTAAACCAACCCTCTTCAAACCCTCAGCCCCCTAAATACTAAACACCCTCAACACTAAACCACAAGCACCCTGAACCCTAACCCTAAACCCCCGACACCTTGAAGCCTAAACCCTCAACCCCGAACACACGCTGAACCCTAACGACCCTCTTGAACTTGGAGAGCATTCTCCAAAGACCCCCTAACACCCCTCAACTAAGATATCTCCCGCAAATCATCGCAAGAATCCCTATATGGTTTACGGTCTTTTCCTTCATTAACGGGGTATTTTGGTGCGGTTTAGGGTTTAAGGTTTAGGGTTTAGGGTTTGGGGTTTAGGGTTGGGGGTTTGGGGTTAGGGTTTAGGGTTTATGGTTTAGGGTTCAGGGTTCAGGGGTAGGGTTTAGGGTTTGGGGTTTGGGTTTAGGGTTCAGGGTTCGGGCTTCAGGGGGGTTTAGGGTTTAGGGCATGGGGTTTAGGGTTTAGGGTTTAGGGCTCAGGGTCTAGGGTTTAGGGTTTAGGGTTTAGGGTTTGGGGTCTAGGGTTTAGGGTTTAAGGTTTAGGGTTTAGGGTTTAGGGTTTAGGGTTGAGGCTTGCTGAAGGGCATATTAGGGCTCCCTGGGGATCTCCGCCTCAAAGACGGCGCTTGAGCGGGCAGGTGTCGCGGCGTTGACGGCAAGGTTGAAGGGGATGCCAGCCTTTTGGGGGTTGAGGGTTTAGGGCTTAAGGCTTGGCGCTTAGGGCTTAGGGTTTGGGGTTTAGGGTTTAGGTTTAGGGTTTAGGGTTTAGCGTGTAGTGCTTAGGGCTTAGGGTTTAGGGTTTGGGGCGTTTTCTAGCGTATAGGGCTTAGGGTCTAGGGTTTGGGGTGTTTCGGGCTTACCTTTAAAAACCAAAAACCTGCCTGTGATGGTGGGCTCTTTGGCAAAACAAGACACAAGAGTCACATCAACACGTGGATGAGCAAAAACCCAAGCGAAAACTCATTGCAACACCTTACCCCCCGCCCCTTGCACACCCCGCTTGCCGATGCTCGTCGGCACTTCCCAAGCATCCCAACCCACGGATCGTGACCCTTTAATATGGTGACTCCAGTTCATCTGATCCTGGCAACTTCTGAGAGTTCAGGGCTTGGGGACTAAGGCTTTAAGGGTTGAGGGTATACGCATAGGTTTGCGTTGCAAGGTCTGACCGTTCGAGCTTTGAGTTTAGGATGTGCTTGGAGGTTCATGGGTAAGTAAGGTCAGCATTTTGGCAACCATACTTATTTCGCTTATAACTTCCCATAAACCTCCAAGTAGGTTTAACCCTGTCGCAGCACCTGGCCACCGACGGTTGGAGAGATCAGCGTGACCTCGGACACAGCTTCACAGAGGTTGTATTTTCTGGGCTGCCGTTAATTTAAGTTCCCAGCCAAAGCAAGCCATTTTTACCAGATATCCAAGTTTTCTGGTGACTGAGGTAAAGCACTTGGGTTCAAGAATCCGGCATTCGGGCAGATTTAGTTCAGGGTTTAGGGTCTAGGGCTTAATTGGCAAAGACCGCGTGACCATTTAGGGCTTAGCATTTCTTGGGTAGGTTTGGGGGCCCTATAAACATTAAGTTTTTATGGCTTTCTGAGGGTTATATAGGGGATAAAGGGTAACAAAAAGACCTACCCCTGTTTCGAGGGCGCTCCAGAGTTTTTTGTGTCAAGCGGCCGCTCTGCTTGGAGGTTCGTGGGGCGGTATACTCGGATAGCTGAGTTGAGGAGTATGGGGGTTTACGAAAATACGGGACCCCAACAGAGACCCTCAAATAGCAGGATTCCCTTGTAATAAGGATCATAAGAAGGTACCCCTAGCATCGGAAACCCCCAGGCCCATATGCCTTTCATTTTATCCCTTGTAAATTTAAAGGAAGGTTCCCTAGTTAAGCCAGTGAGCAAGATCTTGGCATGTAGGGATCAGGCCCTCAACCCTGAATCCTACAAACTAAACCCTAAACCCTAAAAGCCCCACTTCGGACCCTATTTAGGATACTTATGACCCTGCTTATAACTACCCATGAACCTCCAAGTCTACTATTGACAACAGAGCCCCAGTCATAATAACACTACGCGCTATGAAAGCACATCTGAACCTCGCCAGAAACCCTCGGAACACCTCTCGAGCCGCCCTTCGACATACCAAAAGTGCCGGGAGAAGCCGCCGTTTGAGTTTGAAGACCTGAACCCCATACCCTAAACCCTAAACCCTGAACCCTAAACCCTAAACCCTACAAACTAAACCCTAAACCCTTAACCCGAAACCCTAAACCCTAAACCCTAAACCCTAAACCCTAAACCCTAAACCCTAAACCCTAAACCTAAACCCCAAACCCTAACCCTAAACCCTAAACCCATAAACCCTGACCCTCCCATCTGGGCCCTGGGCCTTGGGCTCTGCCCCGCGGAACGCGGAACGTCGGAACTTGAAGGAGCCGTGGGACACGAGGCGGTCGGTGCCTTTAGGCTTCGGGTTTAGGGTTTAGGGTTTAGGGTTTAGGGTTTAGGGTTTAGGGTTTAGGGTTTAGGGTTTAGGGTTTAGGGTTTAGGGTTTAGGGTTTAGGGTTTAGGGTTTAGGGTTTAGGGCTTCGGGGCGGAGTGAGGGGGGAAGTTGGGGTTTAGGGTTTAGGGTTTAGGGGGTTTTGGTGTCTTGGGGTCTTGGGTTTGGGGTTCGAGGTTTGGGTTCGGGGTTTGGGGCTTGGGTTTTAGGGCTCAGGGGTGCTGGGGCTTCGGGGTGCTCACCCAGGAAACCCTCACACCTGTCTGTTTCGGGTCCTGGGGCTGCAGACTGTCCATCACCTTGAGGGTTTAGGGCTCAGGGTTTAGGGTTTGGGGTCTATTCCTTCCGACTCGAACCCCTCAACCCGAAACAGCCAGCAATCGGGAGCTCAAGCCCTGACATTGGCTTTTCAACATCGGCAAAGCTTACGTTGATCTTGATGATGCGCCTTGAAGTAGCAATGCCCGTCTTGGTGCTTCGAAAGATGCATGGCAGCTGCCAGGTTGAAAAACTGTCCATCGTTCAACCCTAAACCCTAAACCCGAAACCCTAAACCCTACGCCCTGTGCCTCCAAGACAGAACAGATGCACAAAACATAAGCAACGTGCTCCGCCACAAATGTTGGGTCCAGGGTTTAGGGTTGCGACGACTCTGCACCCATCTGTCCCAAACCTCTGTAGCCGATATTACGCATCTCTAGATCCGCATGTAAGGAATCTGTGCATGGCAGCGCCATGACCTTGGTTACCAAAATAGGGGTGCCCCCAGTTCATGTAGCCCCAAAGACGATCATCCCCATAATGGGAACCTCCAACAAAGGTACCCCTATTTTCGGAAAACCCCGAAAGCCGGCGTTGGGAGTAGAGCTTCGTTAAGACCCAGAGCAGTGCATGATAACAACCGCAGGATTTAAACTCTGGCCGGCTTGGTCTGAATTTAGGGTTTGGGATGTACTTGGAGGTTCATGGGACGTAACAACCACTTATAACTGGGCTTAGAACCCTACTTATAATTGGGATAACCCCCATAAGGCCCTTTAGGGGCATTATAGGTGGGGTTATAAGTACAGTTATAATTGGTTAGTAAGTATCATGAACCTCCAAGTAAGGGTTCAAGGTTTTCTTGTTTGGGTTTTGGGTTTTGGGTTTAGGGTTTAGGGTTTAGGGTTTAGGGTTTAGGGTTTGGGGTTTGGGGTTTAGGGTTTAGGGTTTAGGGTCCTGGCCGAGAGAGCAGCTGAGAGCGGCACAGGTCCGAATCAGGGCTTTCCTGGGATTTTTCCGTGCTGGTCTTTAAGTTATATAATAATCATAATCATCATCATCATCATCATCATAAAATAATAATAATAATAATAGGGTTCTGAAGGGAGGGGGTGTTCAAAGGGCGTCTGTAACCCAAGGTTCCTGAATACTTCCCACTACTCCATAAGGCTCCCGAAGCTTCCCTAAGGTTCCCTAGGTACCTACCCCCCATGAACCCGACCCTTTACTTGAGGTGTCGTTTAGGGTTTAGGGTTTAGGGTTTAGGGTTTAGGGTTTAGGGTTTAGGGTTTAGGGTTTAGGGTTTAGGGTTTAGGGTTTAGGGTTTAGGGTTTAGGGTTTAGGGTTTAGGGTTAGGGTTTCCTGTCTTTCTGAGCACCCAAACAGGCCTTGAGAATCCCTGAATTCAGGAAGAGACCTTGAATCATTCTAAGGATCCCTAGACGGTTCAAGGTCTATTCCTGAAATGCTACACGAGCTTCAAGCAACCCTACACCCCAAAAACTAAACCCTAAGGCCTAAGCCCCGTAACTCCCCTCAACCCCAACCCAGAAACGAAAATCCTAAACCCCAAGCCTTAAACCCTAAACCCTGAACCCCTGAACCCCTGAACCCCTAAACCCCTGAACCCCTAAACCCCTAAACCCCTAAACCCTCCTGAGCTGAGCCCAGGTTCTGGAACTTCCCCGCATCCTTGGTGGCACGCTCCGAGAGGACCTGCGCTGCACTTGGAGGTTCATGGTACTTAGTTTAGGGTTTAGGGTTTAGGGTTTAGGGTTTAGGGTTTAGGGTTTAGGGTTTAGGGTTTAGGGTTTAGGGTTTAGGGTTTAGGGTTTAGGGTTTAGGGTTTAGGGTTTAGGGTCAGGGCTTTTGGGTTGTGGGTTTGGGTTTTTTGGTTTTGGGTTTTGGGTTTAGGGTTTAGGTTTTAGGGTTCAGGGTTCAGGGTTTAGGGGTTCAGGGTTCAGGGTTTAGGTTTTAGGGTTTAGATAAGATTATAAATGAGCTCGCGAATGCATGAAGCTTATGAGCGACCGAACGAAACAAGTTAAGGTGTCATGAGATTGATGGTGTACGAAAGGAAAAGTAAAGGTTAACCGCTCACACGTCCAGTCCTTTTCCTCGCTTCTTTGCTCACAATTTTCTTATTAATGCAAGCTCGCGCGCGATTATAAAATATGCGCAAGGGTTTAGGGTTTAGGGTTGTTTAGTGCTTAGGGTTTAGGGTTTAGCGCGTCTCCGCACGCAGTGGCAAAAGATCATGCACGTATGGCGTCACCACCACTCCAATACACTCCAATAGAGGCCCCGAAAAGGTTCAAGATCGAATTGGCCTACGGCTATCGCACTCTGACTGTTGTCACTGCCACTGCGAAAGCTATGACTACTTTACATTAGGACAGACAAGGCACAAGAATCAAATTTGAGACAATTGATAGCAGCCAGAAATCAACTGCAAGCGCATTCACACACAGAGACACAGACAGACAGCAGCAAGACAGACAAACCGAGGCAGACAGGGAGTTCGAGAGAGGAGGATTGCACGAACAGACCCTAAAAACTCGGGATGTTCCACCTCATACTAACAGTCTTTCATAGGGACTACCCCCTCCTCCCGCGCCGCCCTAAACCCTAAACCCCTAAAACCTTCGACTGCTAATCAGTAAACCCTAAGCCCCTAACACCTTCTGACAAAACAAAACAAAACAAAAGCCGAGCCCAACCCCTAAAACCGAACGTAACAGATATATGGAAAAAAAACAGAAAGACCCCTAAACCCCTGGACCCTAAACCCCTATAACCAAAAAAAGGGACCTTGGGGTTGCTCAACACCACGATCTCCACGTCTGGGACGGCCACGCCGAAGGCGGTGCCTCTGCCACAGGGCTCTAGGCTTAGGGTTTAGGGTTTCGAGTCGAGGGTTTAGAGTCTAGGGTTTAGGGTTTAGGGTTTAGGGTTTAGGGTTTAGGGTTTAGGGTTTAGGGTTTAGGGTTTAGGGTTTAGGGTTTAGAGTCTAGGGTTTAGGGTTTAGGGTTCAGGGTTTAGGGTTTAGGGCTTAGGGCAGAACATCACCTGGTGTGCAACACCGAAGTATCGCCATTCAAACCGCCTAAACCCTAAAAGCCCCCTAGCCCTAAACTCTAAACACTTCAAACCCTTCACATTAGCCTTGAAACCCTTGAGCCTCAAGCCCGTAGCTGAAACCTCGGGCCCTAACTACCCAGATGGCCTTTGCTCGGATCTCAGCTCCTCTTAGACAGTATCCCAAACCCTAAACCCTAAACCCTGAACCCAATGAGGGGACTGTCAAAAATATACCCAAGCGGGCCTACTCAACAGGTCTTTTCGGGGCATCCCAAAAGTTTCACGGGCTCGGGGGGTAGAGGTTTCAGTGTTTAGGGTTTAGGATTTAGGGTTCAGGGTTTAGAGTTTACGGATTGGGGTTTGGGGTTTGGAGTTTCTTGCGCTAGGAGGCTTGCATAGCGTTCCGCACCCTCCTTAGATGCAAAAACCTCATGTCAATTCCTAGAAAATCCCCGCAAAGGGAAAATCCCCACGTCCTGTAAGCCCTTCTTGCTGCAGGATTTGGAATTCCACGTTTACGGAGGGACGGGCAAGCTGCAGATGCCCCGGTGCGGTTGAAAAGCCACCGCATTCCCCAAAGCGGTTCGCGGAGGGAATGGACCACACGGCCATCCGGCAGCCCCCCCGCTTCCGCGTGTATTCCTCCGCCTCCATCAGCGCGGGCCTCGAACACAATAGGATTCTAGCACCCCAGATGAGTCTTGGGGTTGAGGCTTTAGGGTATAGGGCTTTGGGTTTAGCACTTTGGGTGCTTAGGGGTTTAGGGCTTAGGGTTTAGGACCCTCAGGCCTAAACCCGCAACCCTAAATAAACCCTGAACCCTCAGCCTGCACAAGACTCAGCCCCCATAACTCCAAACCCAAAACCCTCAACCCTAAACCCACAATAATAAGCCCTAACTCTCAAACCTTAACCCTAAACCCTCAACCCAAAACCCTAAATATTGAATTTCGGGGTGAGAGATGAGAATGTTACATGCCATTGAGCAGGCAAGACAAGGGTTTAAGGTTGAGGGTTGAGGGTTTCGGGTTTTGGGGTATAACTAGGTTTAGGGTTCAACATCTAAACCACTAAACCCTCAACCCAAAACTCTAAACCCGAAACCCTCAACCCCAAGACGTCAACCCTAAACCCCTAAACCCCTAAACCCCTAAACCCCTAAACCCCTGAACCCCTAAACCCCTAAACCCCTAAACCCCTAAACCACTAAACCCCTATATCCAGATGTCAGGCGTTGGCCTCCCATCGGGTTCGCAGTCACGTAGCCTGGGACGGAAGGAGCCAAGCGCTTGGGGTTTCGGGGTTTCGAGGTTTAGGGTCTAGGGTCTAGGGTCTAGGGTCTAGGGTCTAGGGTTTAGGGTTTAGGGTTTAGGGTTTAGGGCTTGGGGTTTAGGGTTTAGGCTTCAGGGTTTAGGGTTTAGGGTTTAGGGTTGAGGGTGCAAGGTTTAGGGTTTCGGGCTTCGGGATCCTCATAGGGGACCCTCCAGGCTTTGCAGGGGCTACTTTGGGTCTACTTGGGTATAAAAAAAAGGCCTATACAAGGTACACCTAAGAGGGCCCGGCAAAAGTCCGAAACCCAAAGCCTCAGGCACATTGAGAACCTACATCTCGGGGTTATACCTCGGACCCTTAAGGTTGTACCCTTGGGTTTTGGGGGGAACCTCTTTTGAAATAACCCCTTGACGGGTCGAGACGTTCCAGATGGGGATTCCCAGCTAATCAAGGCTTCAGCGTTGCCACCTGGACAAGAATATGGGTTTAGGGTTTAGGGTTTAGGGTTGAGGGTGTAGGTTTAGGGTTTAGGGTTTCGGGTGTCGGGTTTCGGGTTTAGGGTTAGGGCCGGTTAGGGTGTGGGATTCCGCGCTGAGGGTGGGGTGCCGGGGGGGTAGGGGGGGTAGGGGGGGACTGAAGCCAAAAATTGGCCACTTGCATGCCCGAAGCAGGGCCTTCATGCTCTTATCGGTCTAGTCGAGGCCCAGAGGGCCATGGTGTGGGAGGCTCCCTGCATAAGGGCTTTTCCTCCCCAAAAAGCCCAATACCCCTTAGTTAAGGACTATTCCTTAAATCGCACTAAGGATCCCTATATGGTTTAAGGAACGTTGCTTAACTTAAGGGGTTTTGGGCTCTCTGGGCTGTGGTTCCTGTTGCAATATGGAGCCTGATTTAGAGGCACCCAAATTGGCCCCGAATTCTTAAGGAGAATCCGATTCCCTCATATCCGACTGGGACCCTATTAACAGCTCCCTGTATTAACAGCTCCCTGTCTCTGCCCCAGCATTGACAGCTCAGCCTGCCACCCGTGCTAGAATTCACTCTGTAAGGTACTCGATGTTGTAGTGGAAGCACCAGGTAGCTGGAGTCCACGCGAGTTCTAAGAAAATTGAGTTTAGACGCGGTTTAGGATTTATGTCTTAAGATTTATAAGGTTTTAAGGGCTTTAAAGTTTAAGGGTTTTAAGGGTTTTAAGGGCTTTATGTGTTTTAGGGGTGTTAAGGGTTTGACTCTGAACGACATCAAGCAGCCATCCACGCGGGCCGTGGGAAGCACCGGGAGCAGCGTGGCGCGCACCGCCCTTGGTCGCAGCTTTGGCAGCTACTCTAAGGTTTAGGGTTTAGGGTTAGGGTTTAGGGTTTAGGGTTTAGGGTTTAGGTTTAGGGTTTAGGGTTTAGGCTTTAGGCTTTAGGCTTTAGGCTTTAGGGGCTTTAGGGCTTTAGGCTTTAGGCTTTAGGCTTTAGGCTTTAGGCTTTAGGCTTTAGGCTTTAGGCTTTAGGCTTTAGGCTTTAGGCTTTAGGCTTTAGGCTTTAGGCTTTAGGCTTTAGGCTTTAGGCTTTAGGGACAAGTAGGGTTATACCTGGGACCCTGTTTACCTGCCGTTTTATGGGTTCTACTCTACTAATTAAGGGTTGCTACCCTTAAGTGTACGTTTCGCCTGGCGTTCGCTGTCCTCCTGCGCGGTTTCTCTAGCTCTTGCTTCACTCAGGAGCCTGCTGTCCACTATGGCTCGATTATCTTTCAAAGTCTCATACGCCTTGTTAACCTTCTGCATAGCCGCCTTTGCATCGGTCAACTGGCACTTGTCCGGGTGGACTCGTCGTGAGGTTGCTACCCAGGCTGCCCGCAAAGCTGATGTGGCTACTGTGCGCAGCACGAGCAACCGACTGATCGCTTTGTCAGGGCTTGCGTCTTCTGCGGGCAGCGGCTGAATTCCCAGCCTGGGAAAGACGGCGCTAGCTGTATTCTATCTATGGTGTTGCCTGCAGACAAAGCTAGTTGTATCGCGAAGTCGTGAGAACCTGGAACCTTTCAGACAATCTCACAAGCACAGTAGATTCCCCAGCAGCTACCAAAAAAAAAGACCACTGTCTTCACCTCAAGCTACTTAAGGCGCGGTATAGTTACCATACTCATGACCCTGCTTATACATGTCGCAGCTGTGCAGCTACAATGCAGCAACGGCGGCAACCACAGCGAAACAACGGAAAAAACGGGAAAGAACTACAAGTAGCCCTCTCATCACACCCTAAACCCCCAACCCTAAACCCCTAACCCTAAACCCCAAACCCTAAACCCCAAACCCTAAACCCCAAACCCTAAACCCCAAACCCTACCCACCTGCTTCGCGATCCCAGGTGGAAGGTTGAGTACGGATTCTGCCCTAACCCCTATTTCGTCATGGGATTTGGGATCCCTACACCCCGAAGCCCTGAGCCCTAAACCCTAAACCCTAAACCCTAAACCCTAAAGGTGAGGGGGACTGGGCCCTTTGGGTCTGCGGTGCTGCTGAGCAGCTCAGTGATGGACTCGACGTGCGCACGACTCACATCGGTCCTGAGGAGTTCTAGGGTTTAGGGTTTAGGGGTTTAGGGGTTTAGGGGTTTAGGGGTTTAGGGGTTTAGGGATTTAGGGGTTTAGGGGTTTAGGGGTTTAGGGGTTTAGGGGTTTAGGGGTTTAGGGGGTTAGGGGTTTAGGGGGGGTTTTAGGGGTTAGGGGTTTAGGGGTTTAGGGGTTAGGGGTTTAGGGGTTTAGGGGTTTAGGGGTTTAGGCGGTTTAGGGGTTTAGGGGTTTAGGGGTTTAGGGGTTTAGGCGGTTTAGGGGTTTAGGCGGTTTAGGGGTTTAGGCGGTTTAGGGGTTTAGGGGTTTAGGCGGTTTAGGGGTTTATGGGTTTACGGATTTAGGGTGCAAAGGTTTTCGGAATTCAGGGTGTGGGGGCAGGTTTTAGGGTTGAGGGTGCAGGGTTTAGGGTGAAGGGTTTAGGGTTTGTCACGGGTGCGACCCGCGCTACCCTAACTACCCCAACCCGAAATCAAGCTCAACTGCTTTAGGGCTACTGGGCCCCATATTTGGGGCCAGAGCCACCTGTGGGGGGGGGGGGGGGGGGGGGGGGTAGTACAGGAGCCCTCAACCCCAGCTTGGGCGTTATAAAGCTCCTGGTATCAGACCTCAGTCCATGGGGCCCCGTAAACGTCAGAGTTTCAGTATGGACGTTCTATGGGGTTGCATGGGGCTATGTGGGGGCTACATGGGGGCTGCATGCAGGGAGATGCGCAAAGAGAGTGTAAAAAGTGTGATCAACCCCCACTCAAGCCTACCCGGAGACCCTTCATTCAAGAAGATACCCTAAAGGGGTTTAAAAGTTTAAGGGTTTAGGGTTCAGGGTTGAGGCTTCAGGCCCCTATATCAGTTTAGGGTTTCGGGTCTAGGGTTTACGGTTTAGAGTTTGGGGTTTAGGGTGGGATGCTCCCATAGACCTTAAGGCGTCTTGCCACTCAAGCTCTCTGGCTAGGTCGTATGCAGCAGCCCTCCAAGCTCGACATGTACACGCCAGAGAAAAAAAACACCCAGAGCCCTGGACAGAATTCATACAAAAGGCTGTAGGGTTTAGGGTTTAGGGCTTGAGGCTTAGGATGGTTTAGGATGGTCTAGGATTGTTTAGGATGGTTTAGGATGGTTTAGGGTTTAGGGTTTAGGGTTAAGGGCTTAGGGCTTCAGGCGTGACGGGAGGGCTTAGGGCTTCAGGCGTGATGGGAGGGAGTGCTCGCGTTGCTTGTGTACTGACCCGAGGGTTCAGTTCGCCCAAATTTAAGAACCCAAATCCCTGAAACCCAAACTCCTAAACCTTACACCCTAAACCCTGAACCCCAAACCCTAAACCCTAAACCCTAAATCCTAAACCCTAAACCCCAAACCCCAAACCCTAAGCATAACACCCGAGAGCTCCCCGTTGCGCCGGGGCACAGCGCGATCTGCTCGATGAGCTCTCCCACCTGGCCACAACCCTCATCCCGGGCCCCTAAGCCCTACTTGGAGGTTCATGGGACTTAATAACCACTTATAACTGGGCTTATAACCCTACTTAAAATTGGGATAACCCCTATAAGGCCCTTTAGGGGTATTATAAGTAGGGTTATAAGTACAGTTATAAGTGGTTAGTAAGTACCATGAACCTTCCAAGCAAGCCCGAAGCCTTAGCCCCCTTGAGGATTTTAGGGTTGAGGGTATAGGGTATAGGGTTTAGGGTTTAGGGTTTAGGGTTTAGGGTTTAGGGCTAACCCGAAGCCCTAAACCTTCGAACCCTGGGCGGGTTCAAGGTCTGCCTTGCGAAGCTGAAACTAGCTTTAGAGTTTCGGGTTTAGGGTTCACGTTGTAGGGTTTAGGGTTTAGGGGTCCGGGTTTAAGGGCTTAGGGTTGAGATTCCAAAACCCACCCTACAAAAACCAGCAGAATTCGGGTTTGGGCTTTAGGGTTTCGGGTTTGGGGTTTGGGGTTTAGGGTTTAGGGTTTAGGGTTTAGGGTTTAGGGCTTACGGGGTTCTTAAGGTAAGGTTCAGGGTTCACGGTTTCCCAGACTCCGATCCTGCCATATAAATGTAGCCCTAAACCCTAAACCCTAATCCCTAAACCCTGGGTAACCTAAAATCCTGAATCCTGCTTCTTGCCTACTGCTGCTGCGACACCTGCCACGATGGCGCTCATCCGAATGCTGCTGCAGAGTGGTGCTCATGACTACTAATTGCTTAAGAACACCGAAAAATAAAAGATGTTATTCCTTATTCAGGGTAATATAGGGATTATTATCTTTTGTTAATCTTGGTGTTCTTAAGCAAATAGTAGATGATCGTTTGAAATTCACAAGTGTCCTTGGCAGCAAACCATGAATGTTGTCCTGGCACGGCCGTGCCAACCTCTTTTCTTCACAACTTTTAGCAATCTGGGCCACCAAGCGAAAGTAGCAGATAATCGGGCTCATTTCCAACCAGTTGCAGTGTCGTCGAGTGACATGACACAACAAGCCACTTCACTATAGCGATCTTCCCCTGGGTTGCTGCACAGATGCAGGCGATGGCCGCGGCGCCGGTGCTTCCAAGCATGCTCTGGCCAACCCCTGCCTCCAACAGCCGATGAACGACGTCTCCGAAGCCGTAGTGCGACGCGCAAGCTATGGCTTCCAGGGCAGCCGGGCTTGCCAAGGCTTCGTCAACCCTGGTCTCCAGGAGTCTCTCCACCACCTCCACGTGGCCATGCCCAGACGCCACAACTAGCGCAGCCACAGAAGAGTCAAGGCTCCTAGATAAGTTTCTGTCCATCCCAGCCTCAAGGAAGGAAGCCACAACTCTAGCGTGTCCCTGCCGCGCAGCACACATGTAAGCAGTCCAACCGCCATTGTTCAACAACTGGCTGTCAGCACTGCGCAGCAGCAATTCCACAACTTCAGCGCGGCCGCAGTTGGATGCAGCAACAAGAGCTGCTACCCGCGACGGAATGTCGTGGGACTCCCGGGCCAGCAAGAGCCGCACGACCTCCAAGTGGCCCATGCAGGATGCACAGGCCAAGGCTGTTAAGCCAACTTCACTGGCCAGCTCGTGGTCGGCGTTGGCTTCGAGTAGTAAACGAACCACGTCAACATGGCCTGCGCAAGAGGTCCAACTCAGGGCAGTCATGCCAATATTGTCCGCTAAGTTTAGGTCAGCCAAGGCCTCCACCAGCAGGTGGGCAACGGCTGTGTGCTGTTTGAAGCACGCACACACAAGAGCTGTCCTGCCACGGCGCTGCGTTTGATTCAAGCTCGCTCGCGCATCGAGCAGCAACTGCGCGATGTCCACATAGTTGCCCTCTGCTGCCCGGATAAGGGCCGTTGCGTTTACAGCCATCTCGCACAAGGCCACATCGGCGCTGACTTCTAGCAGTAAGCGGACCATCTCTAAGTGGCCATACTGGCACGCCAAGATGAGGGGTGTGGAATACTCCTGAAACTGATCTGGATGACCGTGGCCGCCCTCTTGATCCTTGTTCGCCCCAGCCTCCAGCAACAACCGCGCCGTCTCCACGAAGCCCTGACTAGCTGCAATGCAAAGGGGCACCTGCGACCCGGAATGCTCAGAAGTGCCCGTGAGATCTGGGTCCTGCGGACGCTGCAAGATCTCCTCAACCCTGGATGGAAGATCAGCGTGAACTGCATCAATCAGCTCGTTCCGCTGATCATCGGAAGCGCTGATGAGGGGAAGTAGGACCATCTGCAGATGCATCGGGGCGTCCAAGGAGGTGCCGTCATCCAATACAGCGCCAGCGTGCAGGAGACGTTGCCGAAACCGCGGCTGCCCACAGTGGAGTTGCAAGTCCTGCTTTAAGGCCTTGACATCACATAGTCCATCCACGGCATAAGGAGGCAGCTCATGCCCCGATGCCCGCCACACGCGCAACATGGCTTCGAGGTCAACGGCCGTGAGCCTTGTGCTCGAAAAGCTTGTCGGGATAGGCTGTTGAACCAAGATGGCCCTGAAAGGACAACTTTGACCAAACGTGTTTCAAAGGGACCACACAGCCGTGCGAAACGAGCAGCCTCGCATTGAGCACCTTGCGAACTGCTGTTCTCATGCGGATGCTACTTTTGCTACTTTGCTACCTTGGTGCTCTACTACGGGCTGGTGTTGCAAGTCCATCCCAGCCCCTTTTGAAGAAGCTTCTGGGGGGCGGGTTGAAGCCCATGAAGTCGTAGGAACAAGTAGGGCCAACACCTTTAGTAGCTATACTTAGAACCCCATGTCGGGTACTGATAACCCTACTCCTAACTACCCACGAACCTCCCAGTTCGCCCCCTCTGCCACCCAAACCTTCCGCAGCCCCTTTAGCATGGCCTAAAGCCCAGCCACCCCAAACCCAGCCCAGCCTACTTCAATGCTCTGGGGATAGCAAGTTCGCCGGCAGGTGGCGCTCCAATGCTTTTGGTGCTTTTGGTTCAGGTGTTTCGGCCATGAACAAGGTGAAGCCTCTTCGTGGCTTCTGAGGGGGACTTCCATCGAAACAAGGTCAAACGCTCAATCCGAAACCCTAAGCCCTAAACCCTAAACCCTAGCTTTCAGAATCCTAAACCCTAAACCCTAAACCGAACCTTCCGGAACCCTAAACCCTAGACCCCCCCCCTCGCTCCCTCCCCCCCAAGCGACCCAGCAAATACCTCCTAAACCCTAAGCCCTAAACCCTAAACCCCAAACCCTAAACCCTAAACCCTAAACGGCACCTCGGCTTCCCAGCTGTTCGCCTTGAACTTCGGGGCCTGGGTGGGGGGGTTCGGGTTTCGGGTTTAGGGCTTAGGGCTTAGGGTTTAGTTTAGGGTTTAGGGTTTGGGGCGCAGGGTTTGGAGCTTAGGGTTTATGGTTTGGGGCTTTGGGCTTCGGGTTTCGGGTTTGGGGCTTAGGGTTTCGGGCAGAGGGCTTAGGGTTTGGGGCTTGGGGATTAGGGTTTAGGGTCTAGGGCTTCGGGTTTAGGGTTGAGGGTTTGGGGCTTAGGTTTAGGGTGGCTTTGGGGCTCAGAGGATTAGGGGCTTTGGGGTGCCCTTCAATTTAAGGTCCACTAGGACATTGGGAAATAATTGGGGCCTGGAAGATCCAATGAAAGTGTCCTGCAGTGGTTCCAGGCTCATGTGTAAGATCGGAGGAGCTCGTCCACTGCGATGTCTGTGACAAACCCAGCGACCCAACATGGTAGTGTGCTTTTTGCTTGCCCTTCCGTACTTTTGCAGCCCTTCTGCCGGCCACTAGGAACAGGGGATCTGAACTTTCCGAACAAACCGAACACCAAAGCCCTCTCCTAAACTGTTCGATGCACCTGGACGGGCATCACGGACGGCTTCCGCACCTGTTGCTCACAGGGGCTTCCGAAAAGGTCTGGGACTTCTGGGGTTAGGGTTTAGGGTTTAGGGTCTAGGGTTTAGGGTTTAGGGTTTAGGGTTTAGGGTTTAGGGTTTAGGGTGTAGGGTGTAGGGTGTAGGGTGTAGGGTTTTGGGTTTAGGGTTTAGGGTTTAGGGTTTAGGGTTTAAAGTTTAGGGTTTAGGGTTTAGGGTTTAGGGTTGAGAGTTTATGGCGTTTAGGGGTTTAGGGCTGGGCGCCCATTGCCCTCCTGAGTCTATAGGTTTAGGGTTTAGGGTTTCGGGTTTAGGGTTTAGGGTTTAGGGTTTAGGGTTTAGGGTCTAGGGTTTAGGGTGGCAGCACACCAAAAAGGGCTCAACAATTCATATCAATGAACCAGAAACCCAGAACCCTTACACGAAACCCCGCGGGCCCTAATTCCCAAACCCAAACCTAAACCCGATCTGCGTGGTGTCACCCGGAAGTGGCTCACAGAAGTAGTGATTGTCATGACTTACGGTTTCTCAAAGCCCCCCACGAAATCACATAGGCTTGCAGACTTGTTTTGTAAACCCTCAACCCTAAACCCTAAACCCTAAACCCTAAACCCTAAACCCTAAACCCTAAACCCTAAACGCTTGTTGGGGCTACAGGCACCCTAACTCGAAACCCGATTGTCGGAGTCTGAATGCTCTGAACATTCTGATATGTTGGAGGGCCTTTACTCCCCTGACTAAACTTAGGGTTTAGGGTTCAGGATTTAGGCTTTAGGGTTAGGGCTTGGGGAAAAGAATTTCGGGTTTAGGGTCTAGGACTTACTGCTTCGGGGTCTAGTGGGGTACCCTGAAGTAAATCCTGAAGCCGACATTTTCGATTGCCCAAGAGCCCAATATCCCTTCGTTAAGGAATCTACCTTAAATCATACTAAGGATCCCCATCTAGCTTAAGGCGTACTCCTCAACTAAGGACATGTTGGGCTCTAAACTCTAAACCCTACGTAAACCCGAAACCCTAAACCCAAACCCTAAACCCGAAACTCCTTCAACCCTAAACCCCCCCCCCCCCCCCAATGGGCTCTCTGGGTAGAGGTTGACTCAGAATCTCAGGGTAGTTGCAAGGTCCCTGAATATGGGCCCTTAAAGGGGAACTCCTTGTGTACCCCGTACTTACCCTATGCAACCCAAGGGCCCATACTTCAGAACCCTTTGGGGACCATATGGGGTTTCCGAAAATAGGGATACCCAACTTGGGGGTCCCTTTAAGGGGATTCTATTCTATTTGGGGCGCAAAATGGGTACCCCTATTTTGGGACATACCCAACATAAAGGGACACCCTTCAAAACCCCAGACCCTGGACCCTAAACCCTGAACCCTAAACCCTAAACCCCTAAACCCCTAAACCCCTAAACCCTAAACCCTCAACCCTAAACCCCTAAACCCTAAACCCTAAACCCTTAGACAAAAGCCCCCGCCTCAGGCTTGGCCACAGGGGCATCCTCGGGACCTGAAGGGGCGAGTTTAGGGTTGCGGGTTATGGGGTTTGGGGTTTAGGGTTTAGGGTTTCGGGTTTAGGGTCTGGGGTTTAGGGTTTAGGAGGGTTTAGGGTTCGAGGGTTATGGGGTTTAGGGTTCTAGGGTTCTAGGGTTCTGGGGTTCTCTAGAGTTCAAGGGTTTAGAGTTTAGAGGGTGATGGTTTTAGGGCTTAGGGTTCTAGAGTTTTAGGGTTTCGAGTTTAGGGGGTTGAAGGTTTAGGGTGTTTCGAGGGTTTGGAGGGTTTGGAGGGTTTAGAGGGTTTAGAGGGTTTAGAGGGTTTAGAGGACTTGAGGGTTTGGAGGGTTGAGAGGTTTACACGGTTTAGAGGTTAAGGACCCTAAACCCCAACATAAGGACCGATGGTTTGGGGCACTCCAGAACCAACCGGGTCTTTTTCAGGGATGAGAGAAGTGAGTAGTTAGATCATCGCGATGATCCTTATTCAACATTTGAGGAACTCCCCAAGTAGGAGATATTGGCGGCTGAGCCCTCCACCCTCTGGACCTCCCAAGGGCGTAAGGCTTCGGCTTTAAGGCAGGGGTTAGGCTCTAGGGCTGTTGGGTTTAGGGTTTAGGGTTTAGGGTTTAGGGTTTAGGGTTTAGGGTTTAGGGTTTAGGGTTTAGGGTTTAGGGTTTAGGGTTTAGGGTTTAGGGTTTAGGGCAACAAGATCTCGGATTTCGGGTGCGTTGGGGTCTCGAGGTTTACGGTTGTATAGGGGCAAGGCTTAAGGTTTTTGAGGGCTCGATTTGGGGGTTTTGGGGTGTAGTTAAGGGTGGATAAACCCCAAACCCCGAGACCCCTAACCCCAAAAGCAACATACGCACAATGCCGCATGATTCAAGAAATTAACCTGATTTCAATTCTGGGTATGCCTGTCAACAATCCTCACAGCATTGACAACCGGAGCTCTATACGGAGCTAAAATTATGCCAAACTGGTACCCAGAAATGAAGGCACCCATAGGATTTTAACCTAACTGTTCTTGGAGCAACTCGAAACATTGCCAGATCTGGGGTGGATAAATAAACTAACCAACTCAAACAAAGCAACAACATACTTCCCAACAGCACATACTGTTGGGCTTCGGCGCAATGGCCGGCCAGCAAAGATGGGAAACCCAGAAATGACGAATGCGAAGCTCTATGGTTCTTGAGTGGGCGTACCCGGAGAGCCCAAGCCCCCTGAATGAAGGATCTACCGTAAGCTATAATAGGGATCCTGGTTATGATATTCAAGGTCTATTCCTCAATTAAGGGGTTCTTGGGCTCTTTGGGTGCGGTCCCTAGACCCTAAACCCTAAACCCTAAACCCTAAACCCTAAACCCCCCCCTAACTTCGCCTTTGCGGGTGGCGACCGCGGGGGTACGGCGCTCACCAAGCTGGCGGTGCTTGTCCGCCTGCACACAGGCAGGCGGGCTGAGGGTTCAGGAGCTTGGGGTTTGGGGTTTGAAACCCTAAACCCTAAACCTAGACCCTGAACCCTGAACCCTGAACCCTAAACCCTGAACCCTAAACCCTTAACCCTTAAACCCTAAACCCTAGACCACGTTTAGGGTTCAGGATTTGGAGTTTGGGGTCCAGGCTAGGGTGATTGTTTTGGTCGGGGACCTTGGGCGTGGACCCGCAAGCGGCGACGCCCAGAATGTGAGGGGTATTCAGTTTCATTAGGATACTTTTTTCAAATCAGGGTCCCGTTTAGGCATCCTGCTTATCAGGTGCCGTACGTTATATAGGACGAACCCTAAACCCTAAAACCCTAAAACCCTGAACCCTAAAAGCCTAGACCCCTAAAGAGGGGCCAGTGCTCCCCCTAAACCCTAAACCCTGAACCCTAAACCCTAAACCCTAAACCCTAAACCCTGAACCCTAAACCCTAAACCCTAAACCCTGAACCCTAAACCCTAAACCCTAAACCCTGGTAGGTGAGGCGACTTGGGTCCACGGTCTTAGGCGCGGTCCCACAGGGGGGCCCTAAGCCTAGAGTTGAAGGTTTGGGGCTTAGAGTAGGGTTTAGGGTTTAGGGTTTAGGGTTTTAGAGTTTAGGGT